GCGAAACCATTCGAAGCCTCAAAACTGCTGTACCGCTGGCCAAATTCCAGACTACAAACCCTAGACAAAGCTCCGGCTCCAAACCGAGTTTTATGTCAGTCAGATAATCAGATACAGATTATTGTCAGATACGCTTCAGCTTCTTGTCTAATGTCAGAAAAACACAATCTGCCAGATCCTCTTCAGACTCACATTGTATGTCAGAAATACCTCAGATTGATTATCTCAGATGTATCTCAAACCTACTGGTAGCTCAGATTGGAAGCCTCTGAACATCAGATGTAAACCAGATGCACCTCAGATGTAGGTCAGATCTTCCGCTTTTGTCCTTAAATGCCTTAGATAATTGTCAATCCACCGCATATTTATGTCAGATGCATTTGGAGTTTTCGGTTTATGGGAAGAATGCTTGAAAGCCCAAAGAGCTGGAAAGTGAGTAGTTGTGAGCGAAAATGCATTGCCGACACTGCTCACCACATTGGGATATATGTTTGCAAGAGAGACTTTTTGCATGCGGTTGATGTGCCACTTTGCTACTGAAATATCCACCCTCAGCCATGCTTGCATATTGTGCATGTGTTGTGCATGTGTTGTGCATGCGTTGTGCATATTGCGTCCACAGGAGATAGGACGACAGCGGTTGCTTCATCATGGCCCCTGGCATACTTTTAGTCCAGTGCCTGGTGGATGGCACACTTCCTACCCTGCAGGCGCTTCGTGCTCTGAATGGATTCTGTTTTGACATCACAATGACATTATATGACATTCGTTCTCTTTTCATAATATTTTTCACTCAAGACATGTGAAGACGTGTCGATACAACAAAATCAATGGGCCATGCTAGAGTTGCACGGCACAGCACCACGATTGCTCAGATGCAAGGGCTGTAGGTGAATGTAGGTGCCATGGAGAGCAATTGCAGATTCTGGTTGACAATGTTTTTGTTGCAAAAGGCTATTTCACAAGAACAAGTTTGACACATCTTTCTGCAACTTGTTCAAAACGGTTTTGAAAATGTGTTTATTATGTTATAAGTTATAACATGTTATAACATATATACGGTAACGACATTTAAATATGTGGAGGGCGGGCCAGACCGCGAGGCCCAGGAGGCAGTATAAAATACCAGTTCGTATATCCAAATGTAGTTACCGCATGTTTAAATGGATTGGATTCTGTAAATTCTGTATGTTTAAATGGCCGGGCGGGCCAAGGAAAACCTTCCCGGAGGTAATCTAAAATACCTTTTCGTATATTTAAAAGTCCGTATATTTAAATGTAGTTACTATATATCAAATGTTATTTCAGAAATCTGATGTTCTGTTTGTACTGGAGGTGCTGCGTTGCATCGCTGGGAAGAAGTTACGGCAGCTGGGCTTCTACTGCTGGCAGCGGCCAAGACCTTCAAACAGCAAAGAGAAAGAGACCTGCTGAGCGCGGAGACGGCGGAGACCGAAGAGACACAAGAGCTCTGTAGACCACAAGAGCACCCTGCACAGAGCTCTGCAGTGTTGGTCTATGGAGCCTGCGATGGGCTGCTCGCCTCATTTCTGGCGCAACACGCGCCGGAGGCCAGGGAAATACAGTATATGGTAGATACAAAGCGGAAACAAGAAACATAGTGGCATGTGTATGATGTTTCTGGCATAAACTAGTTTAACCTATAGTTTAACTATAAATCAAACCAGTAGGCTCTAAGTCATAGCATGATATATGTATGATGTAGATAACCTTGTAACCGTGTCGCACACATAGCCATACCCTGAATCATGATTCAGCAGAGATATTTCAGATATTTCCCTGCCTGGGGCTTCTAATTTCCTCATTTGATGTTCTTCTCAGCTTCGATATCCCCCAAGACAGGTGCAGGTAGACTTACTCGATGGAGAACTCAGCGGACTCGATTTGCTTCGAAAACATTTCAATCTTCGACTTGGTGGTCCTGGACTTCTCAAAGGCAGCTGCAGAGTGCTCGGCAAACCCTCGCCAAATGAGAGAGAAGCGGGTTCAGCAGATGTGGATTCAGCGGACGTGGAGGTGGCGTCAGATACTGGTGGGACGGACGAGACAGGTGAGACAGGAGAAAGGATAGCGTCCAGAGAACTCTATGACGGCATCGTTGTAATGAAGCCCTTTGGGCAAAACTTCCGACACAATCCATCCATCTCGTCCATCTCGTCCATCTCGTCCATCTTGCCTGGGGAAGGACCTGGTCAGCACCAAGAGCACCAAGTGAAGTCACCTCTGCCGTTGCGCACGTTGCGCAAAGGTGGTTTGCTACTGGTGGAGGCAACGCCAGAAGACCGAAATCAGTTAGAGAAGTTGGGAGAGGTCTTGGAGCTCAACGACTTGCTCCAGGTGCAGCTGAAACTGGATGTCATACGAGGTATGGATCAAATGAGGATGGAAATGCAGGATTGTGTACGTGGATACTGGTGGATACTGGTGGATACTGAGGAAACTATTGTATTATATTGTATTTATTTGTATTTTGGTTTTCCTTCGTTATTTGGGACACGCTTTTGGGGGAAATGCGGGACAAGTCTCCTCTCTCACGGGTCGTTCCATTGCATTTTGTTCTAATGCGTTCCTCCCTGCCCCTATCACAGCCTATCACACCAAACCAGGTCCCTCATGCTCTTGCCGACAAACATCGACTTTTCTACGTGATCAATATGCATCAATTAAACATAATTATTATACCCTGAAAGTCTTCGACTAAACAAAGTTTAGCCTTTCTGAGCACCTAAACTTTGGGGAGAACGCCTGACCTTTGGCATTCTGGGATGTCTTTGCGGCTCAGGTGGCTATATGCTGTAGTTCTTTCATCCCAAAACCATTGGCATCGAGCAACGGGATCAGATCATCTGTGTGTTGAAGATTTGGTATTCCAACCAATGATGGTTATATATAACATACATTAAACCGACTTCAGACATACATCATCATACATCAAATTTGGCCTCGGTCGACTTGGTCAGCGCCCCGAAAGCCGTCGCTCTCAGGGCGATGATGACCTGGATGAGGATGTCGATGCCACGGTGCTTTGCATCGTGACGCCGAGAGCCAGGACCAAAACACGAGAGCTGTCCTTTATAAATCTAACATAATTCTAACCTGATGTAGACATAATATGAAGTAAACATCAAGAAAACAAATGAGATATAGAAATGAAGAAAGCAAACTGCTTGAAGTACTTTGCCAAACGCAAAGACTGGAACGGCGGGGCGGCTTGGACTGAGAAGTCGCATGCAACAGAGAGAGTCAGTTGGCCTGTAGCATCGCATGCACCAGTGGGGGAAAAGCTTTGGAAGCGCTCACATTGAAAACAAAGAGCACTTCTGGAAGCACAGGTTGCACAAGTTTGAACAAAGGTGCGCTCAGTGCCTGTAGTGATCTGTAGTGCTTTGATGCGTTTTGTATTTGGACGTTGATGTCCGTCACTAGGACTCTGAACGGGCTGGAAACTCCGCAGATGGACTCTTTCGAGGTTTGCACACTGTCGATATTTGGTACGACTCGCTGGAGCTGAACAATAGCATATTCTGTGAACATCTTTGAATCGTCTTCAGAATGTTCAGAACCTTGAGTTTGTTCACCTATGGTCCGAGTTGAAGTTTGAGATCTGTTGAAGTCTGTTGAAAGGAGCTCATTTGCCCAGAGAGCTGGTTTGAATTGCTGCTTGAACGCGGAGGAGCGGTTGGAGCTGATCAAAGTAAGATGCATAATAATGCGTAATATGCATAGTGAAAATGATGGACGAGCCTTGAAAAGAGAGCAGTGAATCTGAGTGCAGTTTCAAGCATGTTTGAATATGTTTGAATATGTTTCAATGTGGATTGCAGAAGAGTCATCAGCAAAGGGATGAGACTGCAAATCTGTGTAAAGACCAACTCAGTATTATTTCCTATGAGTTCGGCTCATATATGTCCTATGTATTCCTATGTTCAACTTATATCAGTGCAACTTGTGGATCTTGTTTGACCTTTGCTCAGAGGAGTCGTTGGAGGAGCGCCGGACGTTCTCAACGCCCAAAAGACACGTGTACCTTGGAGCCAAAACTCCATGGCGACACTTCGGACATGGCAAAGTTTCAGCACTTGTTTGACACTTTGCAAATCTTTGCAACTTGTTTTACCTTCTTCTGATTAATTGTTCTTTATGTGTTTCTCAACAGTTTTCAAAGTGGTGCTGAGATATGCTGAATACTGTCTCGAAGTGCCGGTGAGTCTGCTATAGTATCTATAGTTTGCTGAGGTTGTTCCTGCTGGTAAGATGTGCGCAGAAGATCTGGCAACGTTGACACGCCTTGCTGGCAGAGCGACTGACTGTGGCCGAGAGATTCGCTCCCCTCAATCCGACAGCTGGCAGGCACGCAGAAAGGGATACTTTTCGCAAGAAAAAACGCAGCAGAAGAAAAAACATGTAGAGAGGAAACACCACAGGGGACAGTTCTGCCGTTCGGAGTTTCATGAATAGACTGAAACAAGAAATTCAGGTCAAAGACAGTTCTCCATCTTTATCATCTTTGTCATTTTTTGTTCCCCCCTTCAATGCTTTTGCATTTTGGCATTGTTCCAAATCTCATGGAGCTCCTGAAGAGGTGTTGTTTCTTCAGACAAACGGATTCTTCGAAGACCAAGCGCCCCATCTACTGAAGCGTCTCGCTGATATTGCCAGGCTGGTTTCATACACAAAAATGAGTGTCTGTTGTTTTCTTATTCTTATTGTTGATCAACATGTCAGGATCTTGTTGGGACCCGGTTGGGACACATCTGGAAGGTTGAGTTTGATCAACAGCAGACAGGTCAGTTGCTCTGAAAGAGAAGTGGGTGACAATGGAGCAAGCAGATCGATTGCAGGCCCTCAATGAAGAGCATCATGGAGCATCCACACCTAGCAATGATGCGTTTGTTTGTATCATATTTTTTGATAACTTCTGCAGCTTTCTCAATGAGTTCTGCTCTCAACGAGATCTGCTCCTGGATAAATAATCTTGCATATCATGCATATATATTTGTAGTCAACTGCGCCTATTGTGTCGTCTAGTTTAAAGATGTTTAAAGACAACTTAGGGACAGGTTAGGTCAGTTGGTCTTCATTTGGCATACGCAGCAGATCGCAGCAGTGCAATGTAGAGAATGTAGTGCAGGCAAGGGTAATCGAATGGCACCAGCAGGCACGACAGTGCAACAAGTTGGCAGAGTCTTTGGAGTCTTTGATTCAGTGCTAAAAATCCACTTTTGGAGTCTTTGGATTTCACGAGTCGAGTCTCACCTTGAAGGACCAAAACAACAAACCTGTGGATGTGGCTTATTGATGCTTATTGATGCTTATTGTGGTTTGTTGTTTCTCATGTTTCTCGCAGGATGCTCCGGGTCCTGGCATCCCAGACCCCAGACACTATGACATGGCTGGACTCTGAGAGTGGGGAGTAGCAATTTCAACGAAAGATTAAACACTGTCACTATAGTGCGCAACATCGAGTTTAACCTTGGTTCAACGTAGAATGAATCATATGGAATTCCAAGCTCACAAAGTCTGATAAAGGTGTTGCTTAGTAAAATGTTGTTGGTATTTGCCAACCCGTGCTGATAGACGGCAAACTTTCTATCCGGAGAATGGAGGCTTACGGAGGCCTCCCTATTGCTTGCAGAGCAGACATTGCAATTTGCTGCTACTTTGACACAGCTCTCAGGACAGTCTGATCACAGTGGATGTCATGTGTTCGGCGACTCGGCGGCAAAGCTCTCGGACGGTTCGACACAGCCTACAATGCATAAAACATGTGCCATCCATTTCTCCTTTTTTTCCCTCGGATATCCTTAAGGATCAACATCTTTCACACACTAAGATCATCTAAGATCACTAAGCACCAAGCCAGGCTTCCAGGCTTCCAGGCTTCCAGGCTTCAGCCAGGCCCCAGGTTCACCAGGTTCACCAGGTGGGGCGTCAGGGGCGTCAGGAGCCTGGCCGTGACTTTCTCGGTGGCCAGTTGCAAACACTCGAAGTGGACGGACTCAAGGCGTCGAGAAGAAACTGTTTCCATCGAAAGACACACTGAAGAAACAAAATACGGGGAAATACATTGGAAATACATTCGAAATACGGAATCATTCCGGGAACAAACTTCATCAAACTTCCAAACTGTCCGAGCACGCAATCGGGCTGCAAGGAGCACTCCTTCCAGCTGTGCGACATTCTGGTCTTTCAGGCAGAGTCTGAACAAATTCTTTCAGAATCTGGTCTCGATATCTAGCCTACTAGGAAGACACAAACAAATCCGGTAGTTGATGGTAGGTGCAGATAAGTTGCTAGGATCAATGTGAAGGCCAACATACTCAGTTCCTCTTGCCCCGGTTTCGTTTGTTTTTGAAAGTGCTTTTCCCTGGTGTTCTGGCGTATTATGCTGTCAGTCCATGGGACTGTTCGACTTTCCGACTTGGAATATTCAGTTAATATTCAGTTATTTACTTGCACGATGGTCAATTCCCTTTGCCTGCACAACCGACACAGATAGTCCTTTTTTGCTGATTCGTTTCGAGATTTACAATTTGTATACAATTTGCATGAGGCCCACAAGTACCACTGCGTGGCTCCAGTGGTACAGGGATGTCGACGTGCGCTGGTTTTGGAGCCACATGTCTTTATTTACGCGTCGCCTTCGAACTTCAGACAGCAATTCTGGTTTTTCAGGGCTAGGATGACATCCCAGAGTGAAGAATCACACGATCATACTGTCCTCTAAGATTCTGGGATGGACCTGCACGACATTGTCCTCACAGGCCCAGAAGTGCAAGTTGCTAAAGTTGCTACCCTATTTGTCAGAGTATGTCAGAGTGAAATCCTGCCGAAATCCCACTCTCATTTTGACATGGCTCCCATCGCAGCAGTTGTTTCAGGCTTTCGAAACTTCAGAACTGTTTCTGCGTTTGTCTTGTTTGTCTTGTTTGTATTTGTTTGTTTCTTTGTGACTTTGTTTCGGTGTGTCTTCAGACGATCGCTCCAGACACTGTCAAAGGTGCACGAGCTTCGAGCGCATCTGCCCACAGGAGAACAGGTTGGAGCTTGGCAATGGAAAAAACGTGTGCAACTTGTAGAACTGTCTATTCACTCTGGGAATGAAATGAATGAACACGCTTTGCACTCAACAAGGTTTTGAAGTAAAGCGAAGTCGCTTACCTCATGTTTTCAGAGGAATTGAAGATTGATCAAGCAATTTTTAGAATCAGCGTGGTTCGATGCACGGAAGGCACGGTGAGCACACAACAAGAAAGGCTCTTGGAAGGCCACAGTGCTGTCATCGATTATCATCGATTCAGATGCCTTTGCTCTCCCAACCAGCTTGTGGACCTGGACCCCGATTTTGTAGTGCTTTTTGATGCTTTTTGCTTGGGGTTCAAACCTGAAATTCCTATTCGATCACATGAATCACATGTGCTCAGGTTGAATGGCGTGTTTTTTTCTTTGCAGGGCAAGTGAGCTCTGAACCAACTGCAAGGTATCGTCACGTCATAAAAATGTCGACCCAAAAACACAAAATTACGATCATTTAGGGTTGTTTGAAGTTTTTTGCAACCATTTGCGTTTCTTTTTCCCCAGCTTGCTTTGCGGGTTGCATTTTTTTGCGGGTTGCAATTTGTACAGCTTGGACCGAAAAACAGAAAATGATCGGGTTTTGCGCAAACCACTTTGCTTGAGTCACGGCTAGCCCAAATAGCTTTACAGGGGCCAAGCACCGTGCAAAAAAAGTGATAACACTTTATTTGATTTGATGCTTGAAGATTTATTTGCTTTGCATGTTGATCGTTTTTGCGAAGAGAAAGCCAGTTTGCTGCAGCCGCAGTTTGTATGCGTTTAGTATAATAGGTTTAGTATGGTTACCTATTTGTTCCATTTTCCCCCCCTTTCTCGTCATCGTTTTTTGCCGCACCTGTGCAGGTTACTGCCGTTTCGCCTTGCAGCAAAGCGACGCCACCACCTCAGGAGTTTGTGAAGGTCAAGGTGGTTCCTGTGGTGGTTCCTGTGGTGGTTCCAGGTGCGAAATCCATCAATTCCGACGCAATGCGAATTGCTGGGAGGCGACACCGAGCCGCGGTCCCGAAGCAGATCCATCAGCATCCTTTGGCAGTGCAATGAGCCAACTCAGTGACGCAGCATGACGCATCGGTGTCAGCCTTCTGAAAATCCATCACCGGCATAGCTGAAACAAAGCTACGGCATAGCTGGTGGCATGCCTGTCAAAGATATGGGTATGCCGTGCCGATCCAATTCCATAGATGCAGAGATGGTGTGAAAGATACTTTGCTGGGGGTTTGCTGGCAATGAATGTCATGTCATGTAAATGTCATGCAAAATGCAGCGAGATGCAGCCAGGTGGAGGCAGTCAATGCTGCACGAAGAGTGCGGGGGATCGGTCTAGATGGCTCAGTGTCTCTCGGCAGCAAACAAAAACTTTGCGGAAAACCATCCACAAAGGCTTAAACAAAGGGAACATATTTTCTGGAGACTCCAAAAGTTGAACAGTCCACTGAGTGCTTCATAAGCACCATATGTACCTGCAAAGCATGCAATACCTTGAGTTCCAAAGACTATATACTATAGATATACTATAGATATTTATAGATCATAGATCATCTTTTTTAAGCTTTGCCCATCCTTTCTACTTATGTATGTCCCTTTTCATCTTGATTCTGGTTTAACGTCGTTTGACGCCGCTTGTTTCTCTTAGGCTTGAGATGCCTTTGCTTTCCTTAGAGAACATCACTCTGTCCAGTGCCCGTCACGTGACCATAAGCCCACATGAACCAGGCGGCGCTCACTGCTCGATGCTGGCGTCTATCTGTGTTTGGATTTGTCTTGAAAACAATATTCGAGATACTCACAGCGCCATTCGTAGAGACGCATAGCACTGGGTCAAGACATGTCAAGACCCACTGTCCTAAAGATTCCTAAAGCTGGACCCGTTAGTACCAGGGTTTTGACAGGAGCTGCCAGCAAACCCAACTGAAAGAGTCTTATGGGATCGGGCAACTTGTGCTCTCGGATGCTCTCGGTGTATTTGGGCACCATGGCTCGGAGCGCTGAGGGCTGAGGGCTGGCGGGGCTGAGGGCTGAGACAAGGACTGAGCCAATGCTGACGGGACACGCAGGTGAAGGAGCCAACCCAATGGAGGGACGTCGCTCTTGGCGGTTCCGCAACACAGGCGCAGTTTAAAACGACAGGACGCGATGGACGAGGAAAAAGGATCCAGATGATCCCAGATGGACACTCTGCTCTGTAGATTCTGGTTCTCCATTTTCCTCTTTGAATATGTTGAATATATATATGCATAATATATATTATGAATATATTATAAATATATATATATATATATCATATGTAAATGTTAATAATCTATAGTTGGTTTTTATTTCTATGGTTTTGTATCTTGCGCATCTTGCGCCACGCCAGGTGCTCGGATCGAGGGGCCGATTGCCTCGTTCCCAGCCGCGGTCGATGTCGGCGTTGGCGACATCGGCCTGTTCCAGGCCATCAGATCCGATGTCGATGTCGATGCGGACTCCAAGGCCTTAAGGTGTGTCCAAAAACAACAGGTTTCTTTGATTTTCTTTGTCTATAGCAGGTTAGCAGATGTTAGCAGGTTTCAAGGGAAAGTATCACATTAATTGAGATGCAAGGTTTTCGATTGCACGCGGGTTCGGGTACACGCGCGCACCCTCAAAAGCGTCAAAGCCGCAAAGCCGCCATGGAACGCGCAAGCCGCAAAGCCGCCGAGCCGCAAGCTCTGCGACTCATGCGCCGCCTCCTGCGTTCATCGCCGCTGCGTTGCCACCCCCATGGATCGCTGAAGCCGCAAAGCCGCAAAGCCGCAAAGCCGCAAAGCCGCAAAGCCGCAAGCTCTTAGACGCAGGCGCCGTCTCCTGTGTTCATCGCCGCTGTGTTGCCAGAGCGTCAAGAAGCGTCAAAGAGCCGCAAAGCGCCAAGGCGTCGAAGCACCACGAAGCGTCAAGAAGCGTCAAAGCTTCAAGAAGCGGGACAGCGCCGAAGTGTCAAAGAGCCGCCAACGAAAGGCTGGCTGTGCTTAGAAGGGGACGGGCTTGCTTACGGAAGAGGTCTGCAACCAAAGGCTGGCTGTGTTTAGAAGGGGACGGGCTTGCATATTGCGAGACAATTCGTAGCGAATTCCAAAGAACAATGGCAGATGTTATGGCAACCCCCAAAAGATTGAAACGTAGCATTCGACTAAACGAATGGCAATTTTCCTTCCTATTTGGTTGAAAGATGTTATCTACAATGTCCCCCCCGGTGTGATAGACAGTCCCGGCCTATGCGACACAGACCTTGCAAAAACAACTTTAAACAAGAACAAGAACAAGAACAGCAACAACAACCACAACCAACAACCACAACCACAACCACAACAACAACCACAACACAACAACAGACAACAACAACAACAACACAACACAACACAACACAACACAACCAACACAACACAACACAACAACAACAGCAACAGCAACAGCAACAAACAACAGCAACAGCAACTGCAACAATAACAACAAGAAGAAGAAGAAGAATAAGAAGAAACAGAAGAAGGAGAAGAGGAAGAAAAAGAACAAGACAAAGAACAAGAACGAATAGAACAAGGAGAACAATGAGAACAAGATGGAGAACAAGATGAAGAACAAGAACATAACTACAACAAGAACAAAAACAAGAAACAGAACAAGAACAAGAAGAAGAACACAACCACAAGAACAAATCTAAGAACAAGAACCACAACACCAACAACAAGAAGTCCTTAACTTTCGATCATCCTTGATGCTACGCTGCAAGATCTTGCCCTTGATTTTCGAACAACTTTGATGCTACGCTGTCAGATCACAGCCTGATCTTGCAATCATCTGGGATGCTACCGTGTAAACATTTGTCCTTAACTTGCAAATCTTTGTTGCTACAAAGTAAGATCTTGTCCTTAGCCTTCAAGCATGTTGGATGCTACGCTCCAAGATTCTGTCTGTCTTGTCCCTAACCCTCAAACATGTTGGATGATACGCTGTAAGTTCTTGTCCTTAACGGACAAGAACCAGAACAAAAACAAAAACCACAACCACAAGAACAATATCAAGAGCAATAACCACATCAACAACAGTAACAACAACAACAACAAGAACAAAAACAAGAACGAAAACAATAGCAATAACAGGAACAAAAACAAAAACAAGAACAAGAACAAGAACAACAACAACAACAACAGCAACAACAACAACAATCAGAATAACAAGAATAAGAAGTGCTATTTAAAAAACAAGAGCACAAACAACAATAACAACTTTAATAACAAGAACAAAAACGAAAACCAGAACAAGAGAAATAATAGCAAGTTCTTGGAAGATCTGGATGCTACCCAAGAAGATCTTGTACTGAACTTTCAATCATCTTGTATGATTTTGGTTGCTATGGAGTAAGACTTTATCCTTTACATTCAATCATCTTGAGTGTTACGGTGTAAGATCGTGCCCTTGACATTCAATCATCTTGGACGCTACGCTCGAAGCGCTTGTCCTTAACTTTGAACATCTTGGATGATATGCTCTAAAATCTTGTCCTTGAATTACAAACATCTTGGATGCTTCGCTGTAAGATCTTACCCTTAATTTTCAATCACCTTTGATGCTACGGTGTAAGATCGTGCCCGAACTTTCAATCCTCTTGAATGCTACTGTGTAAGCCTTGTCCTTAACTTGCAAACATGTTGGATGATACGCTGTAAGGGGGTGTTGGATGGTACGCTGTAAGCTGTTGTCCTTAGCCTTCAAACATCTTGGATGCAAGCATGTAAGATCTTGTCTATAAATTACAAACATCATTGGTGCTTCGGCGTAAGATCTTGTGCTTTCAAACATCTTGGGCGCTACAGAGTCAGATCTTGTCCTTAACTTTCGATCATCCTTGATGCTACGCTGTCAGATCGCAGCCTGATCTTGCAATCATCTGGGATGCTACCGTGTAAGATTTTGTCCTTGACTTGCAAATCTTTGTTGCTACGAAGCAAGATCTTGTCCTTAACCTTCAAACATGTCGGATGCTACGCTCCAAGATTCTGTTTGTCTTGTCCTAACCCTCAAACATGTTGGATGATACGCTGTAAGTTCTTGTCCTTGACGAACAAGAACAAGAACCAGAACAAGAGAAAGAACCAGAGCAAGAACAGCGATAACAACATTAACAACAAGAACACGAACGAAAACGAGAACAAGAGAAATAATAACAAGTTCTTGGAAGATTTGGATGCTGCCCAAGAAGATCTTGTCCTGAACTCTCAAGCATCTTGTATGATTTTGGTTGCTATGGAGTAAGACTGTGTCCTTAACTTTCAATCATCTTGGGTGCTACGGTGTAAGATCGTGCCCTTGACATTCAATCATCTTGGACGCTACGCTCGAAGAGCTTGTCCTTAACTTTGAACATCTTGGAAGCTATGCCCTAAAACCTTGTTCTTGAATTACAAACATCTTGGATGCTTCGCTGTAAGATCTTACCCTTAATTTCAATTATAAGATCGTGCCCCGAACTTTCAATCCTCTTGAATGCTACTGTGTAAGCCTTGTCCTTAACTTGCAAACATGTTGGATGATACGCTGTAAGGGGGTGTTGGATGGTACGCTGTAAGCTGTTGTCCTTAGCCTTCAAACATCTTGGATGCAAGCATGTAAGATCTTGTCTTTAAATTACAAACATCATTGGTGCTTCGGCGTAAGATCTTGTGCTTTCAAACATCTTGGGCGCTACAGAGTCAGATCTTGTCCTTAACCCTTCGATCATCCTTGATGCTACGCTGTCAGATCGCAGCCTGATCTTGCAATCATCTGGGATGCTACCGTGTAAGATTTTGTCCTTGACTTGCAAATCTTTGTTGCTACGAAGCAAGATCTTGTCCTTAACCTTCAAACATGTCGGATGCTACGCTCCAAGATTCTGTTTGTCTTGTCCTAACCCTCAAACATGTTGGATGATACGCTGTAAGTTCTTGTCCTTGACGAACAAGAACAAGAACCAGAACAAGAGAAAGAACCAGAGCAAGAACAGCGATAACAACATTAACAACAAGAACACGAACGAAAACGAGAACAAGAGAAATAATAACAAGTTCTTGGAAGATTTGGATGCTGCCCAAGAAGATCTTGTCCTGAACTCTCAAGCATCTTGTATGATTTTGGTTGCTATGGAGTAAGACTGTGTCCTTAACTTTCAATCATCTTGGGTGCTACGGTGTAAGATCGTGCCCTTGACATTCAATCATCTTGGACGCTACGCTCGAAGAGCTTGTCCTTAACTTTGAACATCTTGGAAGCTATGCCCTAAGACTTTGTTCTTGAATTACAAACATCTTGAATCTGGGATGCCGCTGTAAGACCTTGCCCTTAATCTTCAAACACCTTTGATGCTACGGTGTCAGGTCTTGTCCTTAAGTTCTAAACATGCTTGATGCTACTTTGCAAGATCCTCTCCTTAACTTTCCAGCATCTTGGATGTTACGGTGCAAGATTCTGTCCTTAACTTTCAAACATGTTTGATGCAATGCTGAAACGCCTTGTCCTTAACTTTCAATCATTACGGATTGTACGGTGTAAGATCTTGTCCTTAAGTTTCAACCATCTTGGATAACACGCTGTAAGACCTGTCCTTAACTTTCAATCATCTCGGGTGCTACGCTGTCAGGTCTTGTCCCCAACCTTCAGACATGTTGGATGATACGCTGCAAGTTCTCGTCCTTGCCTTACAAAACAAAAACCGCAACAGCAAAAACAAGATTAAGACTCTGGTCAAGATGGAGATTTTTCCTTCAACCAATCTATTGATGGTCGGCTTCAAAACTCCGCAGGGCCTGGTTTATAAGATTTGATATAGGTATGACGATGGAATTCAAACCTCCACTAGTTAGAGTATACCCTTTTCATCAATGATGACATGCTCAATAACCAAAGTTTTAAGTTATAACACACTCAAAGATGTTATGACCCGCGAAACGGCGACTTACAAACCACGCTTGTTAATCACCTACTAAGGTAAACCATCATTAAACACCCCACAAAAATTACTAAACAGGTAGTCGTAAGTTCGCTGGCTGCAGGTGAGCGCTGGCCCTCAAATACAAACAATCTGGCCCTTTGTTTTTTCTCCGAAACAGCTTTTATACCTATGTTTCAATCGGTGCTTGAAAAAAAAGTAAAATCTACAAAATCACTTTTTTTCCAAGTTCCAAGATGGCATGTCTAAAAGAGCCGCAAAGTGCCAAAGCGTCACAGAGCCGCGAAGTCTCAAAGCGCCAAGAAGCGCCAAAGCGTCAAAGAGCCGCAAAGCGCCAAAGGGCCAAGAGGCACCAAAGCATCAAGAGCGCCAAGCGCCAAAGCGCCAAAGCGCCAAAGCGTCAAAGAGCCGCAAAGCGCCAAAGGGCCAAGAGGCACCAAAGCATCAAGAGCGCCAAGCGCCAAAGCGCCAAAGCGCCAAAGCGCCAAGCGCCAAAGCGTCAAAAGGGCCAAAGCATCCAATCGTCCAGGCTTTGAGGCTTTGAGGCTTTGAGGCGTTGGACACGCGCCAAAGCGCCAAAGCATCCAAGCGTTCAGGCTTTGAGGCTTTGAGGCTTTGAGGCGTCGGAAAAGCGTCAAGAAGCGCCAAAGCGTGCAAGAGCCGCCAAGCGCCAAAGCGCCAAAGGGCCACAGCATCCAAGCGTTCAGGCTTTGAGGCGTCGGAAAAGCGCCAAGAAGCGCCAAAGCCTGAAAGAGCCGCCAAGCGCCAAAGCGCCAAAGCGCCAAAGCATCCAAGCGTTCAGGCTTTGAGGCTTTGAGGCTTTGAAGCGTGAGGCGCCAAAGAGGCTTTGCAGCTTTGAGGCTTTGAGGCTTTGAGGCTTTGAGGCGTGAGGCGCCAGAGAGGCTTTGGAGCTTTGAGGCTGAGTTTCTGAGAAATGAAGATGATATCAATGATATCTGATGCAGGATCCATGCCTGTTCCCTCCTAGCCCCGAGTCCTCTTTAGTCCGCCAATATGTAGGGTTTGTGCTCTGTATTCCAAGTTTGTAGGAGTCTACCCAATATCGCTGATTTCGAATGATATGTTTGATCTGTCATTTTCCAAAGAACTTCATGCGATTGTATTGGAATCTGTTGGAGATCCTCTCGCTTTGGAGGCGCTGCTCTCGCAGCCCCAAGAAACCATCGGAGACTTTGATGGACCCGTGGCCCTTCTGGGCCAGGAGATCAGTTGAGAATAGTTGAGACATGTTGAGATACGCATTGGATCATCAACCCATCCCTGTGTGTTTTTTTGCTGAAATCCTTCCTCCCGATTTACCTGTTTGCTTCGAGAAACCTTGTGCTAAACCGACGCATGGCTCCTGCGGCTTTCTTGCAGAGAATTTCAACCCCCTTGCTTTAATTTGATATGTTTCTGTATAGCTTATTTCAAATGATTTGGACATCGTGCTGTGATGTTTGCATTTTACACTTGATCTAGGTTCCGACTACACTCGTGCATTTCTATACCGTGACCTTTGTAATTCCCAGTGCTTTTGGGCATGTTCCCACCGTTTTTCTTGGCACAGGACATAATGACTCAGCTGCCTCTGCGCTACAGCGCCACCTGGCTGAGCTCACGCGTGACATCAGACGACTTGTTCCGACATGTTCCGATGACTTCTGGAAATTCTAATAATTTAGATTATCAATATATATATATATATATACATTCTTTGCATTCCTTCGCTGAGTGCAATTTCTTTCTGGTTCAATGGTACACCCCTTTGTTTCCTTGATTTCTCTTGACTTGTCCTCACATGTCTTCAAAGTGGTGAAGTAACCCGAAGTCCTTGCGATTCAAAGTTTGCCTGAGGCAGCAAGAGGCACGCTTTGGTTTCGTCATTAGGCCAATGCTTTGTGTTGTAGACTCGTAGAGCCTCGTAGACGTTCTTAGTTCCGGCCAATGATGGCTTGCAAATGCCCTTGTACCTTCTCCTAGATGTTCGTAGCTGACACAATTACTTCAAGCCAGCCGGTAAAAGGTGGTCTGCAGCAGGGTTATTGGTCAAGGAATCTGCATGTTAGGATATGTTTTGTCATCTTCTGAAATCAAATCGACATGTTTGAGATTAGTTGCAGAGAGTTGTCATTCAGATTGGACTCTGCGTCGTTTGTGATTTGTATCCTACACACCTGTCCAGTGGCAGGGTTGAACATTTGACATGACCGCAACAGTGTGTTTTTGCATCCGGCCGTTTCTGAACTTGTGTTGTGATGCTGGTCAACATGGTTTCAGTCAAAGGATCTTTCCCAGTCGTTCAACAAAGTGAATCTGTTGGTGGGCATCATTGCTGCTTTTGCCGCGTGACCCTTCGTTATCTTTGTTCGTTTTTTTGTTGGAAGATGCTGTGAATTGGAACAAATCAATCGCTGTTTGCTAGTGACCTTCCACAAGTCCACATAGATCAAATCAACACATGGCAACACAGGTGAGAGTTATCAGTCCGATATTTCTGGTTCGAAGTGGCTTGTCATAGTGGAGTTTAGTGTTTAGTGGAGTAGAGACACGGCACAACGGATTGAGGACAGCAAAGTTGAAATCATGGTGCCAGAGGCATCCCTTCAAACAAGGCAGCAGCAATGTATTGAGGTAAGAGTGTGAATTGCAAGTTTGGAGTTGCCTGAAATGTTGTCCATGTGTTTCCATCATGTTTGTTTCTTGGCATGAAACAATGTTTTTTCTTAACAAATGCTACTATTTCCTTTCTTAAACTAGCCAGAACTATCAAGCAGATCCATCAGAGTCCATCATTCCTTTGTTTGGCAGTTTGACACATTCACACCTTTAGTTTTTTTGTACTTGCCATCAATCTATGCTTTATGTTTTTTGAACATGTGTCTTTATGTGGTTTATAAAATGCGCAGAAAATGACATCGCGACTGATGCCGAAGATGTTGGAATGTCTCTGTCTGAACAATCTGTAAAGCGCCGCTGCATCCAGAGGTTTTCCATGTCGCCTGCGCCTTTGCAGCATGACGGTGACGTTGTCACGCGCTATGCACACGTCGGGATACAAATTCCATCTTCCATTTCCCTTCACGCTTGCACCATGTAGACACACACACACTGCAGGTTAAATGATTTGGAGGAAGAAAAGGATGACTTTGATGTCGCCTCGCAAATTCCTGAATTGAGCGGCCTGAGAAGCAATTTGACAATCAGCTGACCTTGTTTTACCTGAAACAGCCTCGAGGAAGAACCGGTGATCACAATGAATCTGGCAGGTACGTGAGAACGGCGTCCCGTTTTCATATCACAGGAAAGAGTGAAGGTCTTCGTTGTGGCCAGCTTCATTCAATCCCCTGGCACCCCCTGCTTGATAATATAAATTGTTCATCATAACTGCATGTAACTAGCAGTTTACACACATGCTCAGAAATATCTTATCGAAATACTGATGTGGAATGCATCTTACGTGCAAAAACACTTCAGTTAAACCTGACAGGAGACATTGGATGATCAGGAGTGAAAAACTGTGCGAAGGAAATCATTCAAATCGTTCTGATGCAGCTCGTTCATCTTCTATTGACAGTGGAAATATGTGGAAATTCAGATTGCGAAAACCGTGCAAACCAAGAAAATTGAACGCAGGTTGTTTGAAACCGGCAAGGTGGTTCTTGGGTTGGCCATTTCCCATAGCAAAGAAATGAAGCAGGTACGTGGAGTTGATCAGACTCCATATCAGTCGTGTCATAGCCCTCTTCGTTTGGAAACCAGCTATGCTCACGAGGTTGCCCCCCTGCTCTAAAGTGGATATTGACATGGAAACGGCAGTTGAAGTTGACAAAGCATCAAGAGGAGAAAAATCGAAAAAACGAAAACCAAACGAACAGCAAAAATCGACATCATCAGGTAGAAATTTTACATATGTTCAGATGTTCCACACACACGCCCAGCTGCCGCGAGGCTTTTTAAGGCCCCGAGGAATGAGATGAAGGTGAAGATGAAGGAAAGATGAAAATGAGATAACGATGAAAATGAGATGACAATTACTTAACCGGAACCCAAGAAGGGGAACGCAAAAAAGGAAAAGGAAAAAGAGAGAACACCAACACCAACACACCTGGCCCGAAACGGGCAAACCCTGAAAGGGCAAAGAAAAAGAAAAAAGCGGACGGACGACGGGCCAAAAACCAACCAGAGGAGGGGGGGGCGGACAGAAGCGCCTGACACAACCTACAAGGCGAGAGCCAAAGCCTACCTAGGAACGCGAAGGACCCAAACCTGACCTAGAGAGGGGAAGCACGCATGAAATAAGGGACCAATGGGGACCTAGTTGATGAAAATGATGCATCCACATGACGTGCAAAAGTTCGTGATAAGGCTCAAGGCCCTCGGCTTTCAAGTCACCCCTATCAACAGCTTACGTCGTCAACCCCTGAATTACGTGCACAATTGAACCTCACCAACGACCATAAAAAGAAAAAAGACCACACCTAAAGTCATGTGCCTGCCTGGACATGCCATCATGATGCACTGATAATGCATGTCTGTCAACCTCTCGAGCAGCAGTGAAAAAGAAAAAGAAAGGATATTGTCGCAGCTTCCAGCTATGCAGAACAGGAGAAGTCTCAAAAACGGTGATGCCAGGCACAGCGGCACACTGTTCAACACTCACTCGACCGACATGTGAGACGATGAAAAAAGGCCGGAAGTTTCACTTTACTTAGACGAATTACTAATTCAAAAGTGTCAATTCAGAGAGCGTTTCAACGCGTCAATTTTTAGCCTGGAAAGGCTTTCCCCGAGGGGTTCATGCCACCTTGACGAATCCAGCATGAATCACACACTTGCTCAGAAATATCTTATCGAATTACTGATGTGGAATGCATCTTACGTGCAGAAACACCTTCATTTAAACCTGACAGGAGACATTGGATGATCAGGAGTGAAAAATTGCGCGAAGGAAATCATTCAAATCGTTCTGATGCAGCTCGTTCATCTTCTATTGACAGTGGAAATTCAGATTGCGAAAACTGTGCAAACCAAGAAAATTGAACACAGGTTGTTTGAAACCGGCAAGGTGGTTCTTGGGTTGGCCATTTCCCATAGCAAAGATATGAAGCAGGTACGTGGAGTTGATCAGACTCCATATCAGTCGTGGCATAGCCCTCTTCGTTGGGCAACCAGCTATGCTCACGAGGTTGCCCCCCTGCTCTAAAGTGGATATTGACATGGAAACGGCAGTTGAAGTTGACAAAGCATCAAGAGCAGAAAAATCGAAAAAACGAAAACCAAACGAACAGCAAAAATCGACATCATCAGGTAGAAATTTTACATCTGTTCAGATGTTCCACACACACACACTAGACAAGAATGGATCATTTGAGTGATCCGGCAGGAACTGAATCCTGAAACATGCAGATTAGATAGGAAACAAAGAAATCAACGATGCATCTTCAAATAATAGAAGTTCTCCTGCATGGTCTCCATGTCCAAAAACGTCATCAAAATACATTGGCGACATGATATTGACGAAAAAATCAAAATGCAATCGGCGATGTGGTTTCGGCGAAATGAGCAAAATACATCGGCGACATGGTTTAGGCGAAAATACAGATTGTGGCAACCGTGAAGAAATAAAATTGACTTGGAGGTTCTTGGGTTGAGCCTCTTCCCATCACCAGACATTGACAATTGAATGGAAGCAAACCCTGAACAACAGGTAGTCACAACAATGCAGGTACACCAGGGTGATCAGCCCCGGCTTCCACCATCATGCATAGCTTCGTTGGCATGCGTTTGCATGATGGCCGCATGCCCCCTGCATAAACAAAAAACGAACAAACGTCGAAGTTTTACATCTCTACAGATGAGTCACACACACACCCTGCCAAAGCAGGGTTTCATTTTTGGAAGAATATAGCGGTCTTACGTGTCGATGCACGAATTGTTGTGAACCTTCGAAATTGTGACTTACAAGGCTGCTGTCAGTCTATTCAGAAGTTGAGCTCGAAGCTTGCTGCAGAACTTGGATCGCGTCGTGGAAGCTCATGTGTGCCACCATTCTCCATGGGTCGCTAAGTTCCCCAGATGCCGTAGCTGCCGTCAGTGAATCCGATAACTGCCTGGCCAAAGCCGGGATAGTAGTGACATGTCCTGCGTCGTCTGGCGATGGAGTCGTCTCAATGGCTACGTTGCGAAAAGGATTGTTCCCATGTAGTAGAGGAATTTCAAAATGATGGCGCCAATAATCTGCAGTTTGCAAGGACCATCCCCAATTTCCCGAGAGGCCATAGAAGAAGTGTTCAGGATCTCGACATTTAGAAATTCCCGAAGTTGGTATCTCCTCAATAAATAGCTCACGTTCGTTGTTGGAGTGTGTAAAGATCTTGAAGTGAATCTGATGAACCACTCGTGCGGTAAAGTGTGCATGGCGGTGAGCACTGAAATGTGGAGGATCGTGTGTCGGGAAAGGAACTGCAGGTTAAGGAGGGGCTGAGTATGTGTCCATAGGTGCCGCTGCCGCTAGGTCACTAGACGTACTCATTGGTTCCAAAGATGCCGAAGGAGTCGAGGTCGGGTTTGTAGAGGCATCGATAGTACTTGCATCGGGAACGAGTGTAGAGTGGGTTCCGCGATTCGAGGTCAAAGGCCATCCCAAGCCCGCTGAAGTTGCGTCACGCTTGTTCTCCATGGGTGAAACAATAACTCAGATGAAAATTTGAGAAAACCAAAAGCTGAGGGGACGAAAAATGTGACCAACCAGGAACAACGTGGAATGACAAGGAGCATCAAAGGTAGATACGCCGCATCCGCCACAAACAGGATTCAGTTCCTAAAACCTAGAAGTCGTGCGTTGTGCCACTCCAGGCCCGTGTTCAGGTCAGCCACAATAGGCATAAACGGCTTTCAAGTTCCAGCGAATTAGGTGCACAATATGTTTGACCTCACCAGAGAACCATCAAAAGAAAGAAGACCACACCTAAAGATCGTGTACCTGCCTGCGTTCTGTCTCATGTAATGTAACTGCAAAGGTTGCTGCGAAAGAAGGAGGTTTCTGAATGTTCAGAACAGCTTCAAAGATGAAGAAATGCGTCGGCGAGGATTTATTGGGACCACAGGAGCCGCGGGACTTCGTCAAAGGCACAAAACGGTAAGGCCATCTGTTGCACATTACTTAAACGAATTACTAATTCAAAAGTGTAAATTCGGAAGTCAATTCAGTCGACATTGACCCCAACTGGGGTTGCCTCAATTGGCCCTATGGCACCATGTCGGAGTCACCATAGGAATCACACTAGACAAGAATGGATCATTTGAGTGATCCGGCAGGAACTGAATCCTGAAACATGCAGATTAGATAGGAAACAAAGAAATCAACGATGCATCTTCAAATAATAGAAGTTCTCCTGCATGGTCTCCATGTCCAAAAACGTCATCAAAATACATTGGCGACATGATATTGACGAAAAAATCAAAATACAATCGGCGATGTGGTTTCGGCGAAATGAGCAAGATACATCGGCGACATGGTTTAGGCGAAAATACAGAATGTGGCAACCGTGAAGAAATAAAATTGACTTGGAGGTTCTTGGTTTGAGCCTCTTCCCATCACCAGACATTGACAATTGAATGGAAGCAAACCCTGAACAACAGGTAGTCACAACAATGCAGGTACACCAGGGTGATCAGCCCCGGCTTCCACCATCATGCATAGCTTCGTTGGCATGCGTTTGCATGATGGCCGAATGCCCCCTGCATAAACAAAAAAGCGAACAAACGTCGAAGTTTTACATCTCTACAGATGAGTCACACACACACGCACACACCTCGACAACAAAGTATATAAATCTGCGCCACTCACTTTTTCATTTCTCCAAGTGAAGGAAAAACCGGCTTCCTCAAACCTGTCGCACCACCTTTTTGCCTTATGGGCAAAGAACATATCTTAATTTGTTGATGCATGTCAGATTTCTCTCATCCTGACCCTGGTCCTCAAGGGGCATGGTTTGCATCGTTTTTCCATCTTTGAGCCACGATACTTTAAAGATCTGCAAAATATGTTGAAGATCCCAAACTACGAGGTGATTTTCCTTGACCTGGATGGAGTGCTGCACCCCGTTGATGCCGTCGAGCACGAGTTCTTCAGCGAAAGTTGCGTTTTCGCTTTGCGCCGTTTGGTGGACAGTTGCCATGCCCAAGTGGTGCTTTCCTCCACATGGAGCTCGGGATTGAAAGTCATGGAATGTCATGGAAAAAACGGAACACAACACGGTTTCGGAGAAAAATGCATCTTCATGAATTGGTTTTGGATCAGACAAGGATTGCCACACTTCGCAGATAAGCAAGGCTTGCCACCCCTTAATGGTTGACACGTCATGTCACCTTTGTCTTCGTACTTTGTCAATTTAAGTCGTCAAATGTCGTCAACAAGAATCAGCAGAGTCTGAGGAGACTGTCTCCACAGTTGCGCCAAGATGCATACTTGCAGCTTGCAGAAAGAGCCGTGCAAGTCGTTGGAGACACACCAAGAGGCCGCAGTCGCGCAGAATCTCATCCGCAAATGGCTCCATCAGCTGGATTTTCGCATGTTTTCACAGTGTTCCAATCCTTTATAATCCTTCTGTCAAGATTCATCAAGATTCCAAGTTGGTCAGACATGTCAGTTTGATTTTGTGTTTTCACTGTTTAGACTATGTTCAGGTTGTTTGTCACAGAACTGGGACCGTCTTGCGGGCGAGGCTGAAATCTTGGCTTGGCTTAATGAAAATTGCTCTTCGGCGCCGTGGCTGGCCATTGACGATTTGCCATTGGAACTTCCTGCAGAGCATGTTGTGAGAACCGACCCCTTTGCTGGGCCACTCAACTGAGCGAGCAAACACGGCGTAGGCGTAGCCGATATGGAAAAAGGATGCAATGAATTAAGCAGTTCATATTTTTGTGAGCAAGTGGCAGTCAAAGAGAAAAGTCGTGTTCCCCATGAACCTAAAGTTCTCAATGACTACTCGCCAAATTTAAAAGTCAGTAAGAGCTTGAGCAGCTCAGCCGTAACAACTCAGTCCAAAAATCTGATTAGCAAAACTGTCAAAACGCGGAACGAGACGGAGCAAGCATTTAAGAGGTTTGAAGTGCAGTTTTTCTTCGTGCAATTAGAGAGTTGTGCGAACGTCTTCTGTGTCATTGTTGATTTTCCACGAGATCACAGCACATTTAAGCAGTTTGGAATCTTTGGAGTCTTGGAATATCTGAGATGATTTGTACAAATTCTCGCTTGAGGCTGACAGAAGCAGACGTGGATGAAGCACTTGAGAAAATCAACAAGATGGCGGAATCGTGTCCATCCGAACGAAATGGAACGAACTGATTGCCAGACTTGGTGATATCTTTAGAAGGCAGCATTGCAAGGCTCGTAGTGTTGAGCAGACATTTGTCAGACCAGGGTTTTAATGCGTTTTATGATTCTTCCAGAAGATTCCCCGATGCTTTGAAACTCTCTAGGTATCCTTCATGTGTTCTTTGGCTACAGGAACCTTTCCCTTTCGAAATTTTACGAAAATTCGGACTCACCCACTACCGGTCACTACCGGCCTCAGGCGGAGATTTGCATACTGTACTTGATCATTCCCATTCCTTCCCAGTCTCATTGCTGACTCCTTCCACTCCCTGGAATGCCTCACGCATATATCATATTGGCACACTGAGTCCTTTGAGCACCTCAAGAACAGAGGCACCCTCAGCACAACGTCAATGCTCTTCTATGCTCAACACAAGGCCATTTTCTCTGACGTCGGTATGGCGGAGTTGGGAGTTCAACATCACCAGTTTCTCCCTTGTGACCGCAAAACCTACAGCATCAGTCTTGGTGTCGGAAATGATCGTGGTCCGGGTGATTGGCTTTCCTGGGCTTCGTATGCGGATGGTTTTCCATGTCAATCAGCAGGGGCAGGCCATCCCAGCCTGGTGCCCTCAGGTCTGGAAAGAGCGGTTCCTCAAAGTGGCCTGGCAAACTTGGTAAATGTTTAGTCAGAAATCATTTAATAAGTCTCAACAATTATCCGTGTTGCATTGGAGAGACATAAAATTGCTCATTCCAGCTGATGCACTTCTTTTATCTTCTTTTCTCAGTTGGAGTTGCGCATATTTTTGGCTGATCAATACGGTTGTGTACAAAGATCTTTGTTCCCCGCTGAACTGTGTCACAACTTCGCCTGTAGCAACTGTAGCATGTGTCCCCATTGGAAGTTCAGGAGTTGGGTTAGTTGATTGGCTCCATCGGATGAGGGTTTCTGCGGACAAACCTGAATTCACTGCATTCCACTGCAACGAACGGCCTTGATCTGCAGATGAGCAGCTGCCGTTGAAAGTGTTGCACTATCCAGGTGCTCGGCAAGCTGAACTTGATGAGGACAGTTTGGGTTGAAAGATATCAAAAGGTCTAAAGGTGTCTCTCAAAAGATGTTGTTTTGAAAAGTCATGGTGACATGTTCATGATCTCCATTTCATGAAGGCATCGGCAGGTTCTACAATTTATCCAGGTTAGGGGGATCAACTTTTTGAGACATTGCGAGCTGTGGCTCATTTTAAAGGGTTAGACTTGATGAGAAAGTCTTCCTTTCACATGGTCAACGTTCCAGAAGAGAGCTCAAATCGAGAAGGGAAGTGTGGGGTGAAGAGTTCGGTCCATTGTCAACATACCGTTGGATTCTCGAACCAGTCCGCCAGAAGCTGCATGACAGAGACTATCTGTGCTGGCCAAGTCAAGCCCCTGCTGGCGCTGCCTCCGTCCACAGGCCTTGTTTGAGGTCTGGCCAGCTGTTTGTTCCTTGATATTAAAAACAACTGTTAATGATTGTTAAGGAACTGCAGTGTGCCTAGCAGATGAGGGACATGAGATGTCTCAAGACTAGTCCTCTCAGTTCCAAGTCGATGCCAACGCAGAGGAAGGAACCCTGAGGGCAAATCTATGTCATTAAAACGGTTGTGACACGTTAGCGTGTTTTTCGTGTGGCACTCATGAAAATTGTTTGGGATGTTGTGACATCAAGTATTTTCACCCTTGGAGGCTCATGACCTGGAGCATAAAAAGACGGAGGGCAGAAAAGGTCCTTCTAATTCTGTTCAATTTTCCTGCAAGCCTTTGCTCTTTCTAGTTCTGTTCAAGTTGAATCAAGGCAATGTTTTGCACTGCTGCATGAGGTCTCCATTCTGAGCTGTTAGCATTTTGTCATATTTTGTCAAAACGCTTTGTGCTTTTTGTGGATCTTTCCAGCTCAACCGCTCTTTGAATAGATGGACCTGATGGCTCTTGATGGCTGAATTAGGCAGGCATTGACTTGGAGTCCTTGGAGCTAACAAAAAATTGGTTTCGGATGGTTTCGGATTGTTTTTGCCAACGCTTGTTTGGATTAAAGTGATAAATCAACCCGAAGCATACCAGCTCGAGTCTCGAATTCCGTTTTACGACACGGAACCAGTAAAGGACAAAAACATGATAAAACATATATCATATATGCATAGTCTGCGGGATTTTGACCCGCTTTTGTTGTCACAGGAAATTCGAGGGCTTCGCTGCAAACTGCTTTGTCATCCTTTGGCCCCAGAGCCTTGCACTGCTTATGGAGTCGAAGACGGAGTCGGATGTTTTTTTACCGTTTGACTTAGCATTCCTGGCATTTTTCAACTCATCAGCCAAAAAATAGTGCTAGATTTTGCACCAGGGGACTGATCAACACACTCGGTACAGACGCGTGGAAGACAGCAAGCCATGCCTTGTTTCCTTTCTTTATTAAATCCATTTTGTTGCACTTCATTTGACAAAGACTTGGAGCAAGGATACAGTTTCAGCCTTTGTTTCGCAGAGTTGCTCGCTAGTTTCGGATCATGTTTGTGACTTTTAAGTGGCCAAGGACAGGTTGGCGCATGTCAACAGCCTGCACCTCAAACTCTTAGAAGATAGAAGAAACAGACAAATTCTCTTGTACATCGGTTGGGGCCATTCAAAGCCCAAGTGGAGTTGAAATGATTTTGAAGAATACTCCAAAGAGGAAAGCAAAATCACTTGAAGACCTCTACACAATTTCCAGCTACGCCAAATGCTGCAAGACATGCATACTGTCTGAATCTAACAAGCTTTGCAATGTATTGCATTCTTTGCATTACATGGTTTTTAACATTTTTTAACGAGGCATTTGTACTACGTGTCCCATACAAATTGTGTGCCTTGCTGCAACAGCTAAGCACACACTTTAGAATGTCATTCATACGCAGTGTCAAGGTGCCATTCTCGTATTTTCCCATGCGCCTTCCTCAGATGGCAGGTGACGAGTTGCACTTGCATTCACATTGAACAAAGGGAAACAGGCTCACAGACCTGATTCTCACCATCATTCATTGCATTCATTGCATTCATTGCGTTCATTGCGTTCATTGCGTTCTTGTTCGTGGAGATTTTAGAGATTTACAGATTTTGCTGAGGTAACATTGGACTTTGTTGCCCCTGCCTTCCAAGCAGCTGGAGAAGCGCTAAGGAGCTGACAATGTGTGAACCGCGCGAAAGACGATGTCTATGGTACACATTTTCACACGAAGATCGTAATAGCATCCCAAAAATCTCTCAAATATGGGAAGCTGACCCGGCCTGAGCACTAGAAATCACCCAGTGTTCAAACTGATGGTAAGCACTGAATGGCAAGACTCGAGGCAAGTTGTTGCAAGGTAGAAAACTATCAGATGCGATCAGCTGTTTGTTGCTAGCCTTATTTGAGGAAAATTATGAAAATTGCATAAAATTGCTATATCCTTTTATCAGGATTGGCTCCATTTGATTCTGAACCTTGGCAAATTTAGATGCGCAATGGCTTTGTGAACGGAAAGGGACGGTAAAGACTGTGGAGAGCATGTCAATGTTTAAGATGCGTACCCAGTTGGAATCCGTTTGTTGCCAGATGGTCTGCGGCACCGAACACCAGCATCACCAGCCGTAGGTCAGACAGAATTCAGAGAAAATGAAGTCCGTGGTCCTGGAAAAGCGTGCATGAGCAACTCTGAGCAACTCTGAGCAAGCAGTGTTTTTTGCCAGCCACGCATAGCCTTGCCAAGGATATTGGGCGTTTTGTCCACCGTGGGTTTTATCATTGTGCAGGCTCTTCCAGATGAGGATCCTTACGACGAGACTTTTGAAATCTGTGGAAACTCGATCACATGTGAACTCACACACTACTTAGTGAAAAACATGGATAACTATGTAGAAGCTGGCTTGCCAGCAAGACAAGACTGGGATAGGATTCAAAACATTGTACAACCATGTAATTATATAAATTATATAGTACAACCATGTACAACCTGTGTTTGCTCATAAGTTGCATAGGTTCAAAGTGTCGTGAACTCACCGCAGATTGTGGAGATTGCTACCCAACAGCACTGTCACACGCCCTTCTGTGTCGGACAGTTCCTTGGGTTTTTGTTGAGTCTTTTTGTTTTGCCATGTTTGTTGAAAGCTCGCGTTATTACCTGCACATCTCAAGCATGGCATTAGGGGAAGTTGCATCGTGTTCAGAGGTAACTGGAATGATGCCATGTTTGCATCACAAAGGTTGGTTTCTGGCATTCTCATCATTCCCAGCCTGTATGACTTCTTCAAGTTCATTGGTACCTACGATGAATCTCTTCAGGAGCATGGCAAAGATCAACTTCTTGGCGCAGATATTTCCTCCAAGAGTTCTTGAATTTTCAGAAAGTCTCACAGCGTTCAACCTGTTGATGCCAGTGTGGCTACAAGAGAACGTTGTGAACGTCACGACATTTCAGGAGCACAAGCAGCGAGCAGAAGATGAAGTTCATGGTCTGATAGAGAGCATCAACCAACAGGCTGTGAATTGTTTCGTCGTTTCCTTTTTTTGTTCAGTCAAAAGGACGCCTGTCACGGGTTGTTTTACCTCAGTTTTTTCATCGCATGAAAATGTTTCTTCCCTGCGTTCTCGCTTTTCCAATTCCTGATATATTGGGATTGCTTGTTCACAACTTGAAAGCTTTGGGATTTGGACTCCTTCACATCAAAGTGAATCAACTGAATATGTTTTTCAAGTTGAGCTCATCGGTTGAGCTGTTTGTATATCACGAAAGCTCCGCCTTACCAGTGACGCTACAGGTGGCAGAAATGCAGGCGTGATGCGGAGTGAGAACGGGCAATGTGCTTTGTCTTGCTGTGAGAATTCTTCGTTCCTCCTGACGCCCTCCCTTTGAAGCTGGCAGAGTGTCCTACAGAAGACAGTAGATTACTATACAATTTCAATCAATTTCAGGCATCTCCACGTGCTTTGATTTCAGAGCCTTCTTGGGGAAAAAGATCTCCCTTCATTTGCAACTATTGTAGCTAATATGCGTATGTGTATTATGTGTTTTAGCTCGGGAAGTATGACATGAGATGACATGAGTCATAAGCTTGACAAATTTGGTTGCTTGCAGCCTGCTCTTCCGGAGCCTTGGGAAGTCCCGTCCAGAATCTGTCAGTGTCTCATTGGGTTCTAGGTTTATGTCCGAACTATTGCAATATTGTTCTGCAAATCAATGATCTTGCAATTTTGTTGCTGCAACAAGGAACGTGTTGCTGCAACAAGGAACATGATTCCGCAGACTCTGCTGCAGTTACAATCTTCTCCCAAATTCTCCCAACATGGTCAGGATGTTGCAGCCAAGCTGACAGCAGACAGCTTAGACCTGCTGCCAGGAAAAATGTTGAGCAAAGTCTAGAAGTCTCAACATCTTGAAGTTTCAGACCTTTTTGTAATTTGTGAAAAAACATGTGTATATTATGTGTGTCTTGTTTTTTCGGAAAGTTTCAAGGACCGAGAACCTGAATGGCACAGCTCAGGAAAGTGCCACAGACTTTGCGTTTCGCTCCTTCGACACGAGCCGCGAAGGTCATGGAAAACCGCAGTGTAAAGACACATGCAGGACACATCAGGACACGGCAGGACACATGTCCTACATTGTCCTACCCACATCAGGACATGCTCAGGACATGCTCACTGTCATTGACTTAACAGACTACATGATCTACACGTTTTTCTTGGCAGCCGCAAGAAAATACGATCCGTCCATGCCGTAAGAATTTCTGTGGTATTGGTTTATGTACTGTGGCGGTGCCAGGCTTCGAAAAGTTCATTTTAGCCCAAGACTGAGTGAAGACAAAATGAGACAAAATTGCCAAGCCCATGGATTTTCACCGATCAGAGGACTTGATTGAGACATAGATCATCAGCTACATTTGTTATAGATCTACGTTCCGTTGTTTCATACTCTGTTTTGAGACAAAATCCAAAGATGAAAGAGGCCAAAACAGGCACTCATCAGAGACAACATGTTTGAGAGCATGCAGGGTTTGCTTTTCTCAGTAAGGATCTGAAACTTTATTACAGTGAGCTCTATGTGCAGGAACACATGTTGGAGGAACTCGGGAAAAGTACTTGTTGGAGCAGCATGTGTGGAACCTTCCATCGGGATTTACTTTTATTTTTCATATCTTAGTCCAGAAGTTCAAGCAAAGATAACACTCATGTTTACAGATGTTATTAATCAACGTGTGAGGG